AGTTCATGAGATTGAACCCCATGTTGGGCTTTGTGATGACAGTGCAAATAAGTATGCTTAAAAAAAAATCATGTGAAGTGTGACATCAAAAACATAAAATGTGTGTGTAGGAATGAAAGGTAAGAGTTTTTGTGTAATGAAAGTGAAATTGTTATCAACTTAAAATATACTGCTAATCTTTATAATTTTATGTAAGCTTTGGGGTAACCATCTATAAAAACCCAAAACCTATAATAGATACACACAATATTGGGAAAGTATACCACTATGGAAAATCATCAGTTCACAAAGGAAGGCATCAAAAGAGAAAGAAAGGAACAAAGGACCTACAAAACAGTCCGAAAACAATTAACAAGATGTCAATAGTAAGCCCTTATCTATCAATTACTTTAAGTATAAATGGATTAAGTGTTCTAATCAAAAGGCATAGAGTGATTGAATGAATTAAAAAAAATAAAAGACCCAACTACATGCTGCTTACAAGAGACTCAGTTCAGCTTCAAGGAAACATATAGGCTCAAAATGAAGAGAAGATGGAAAAAGATATTCCATGCAAATGGAAACCAAAAGAGAGCCGAGGTAGCTATACTTATATCAGACAAAATAGACTTTAAGCCAAAAACTGTAAAAAGAGACAAATAAGGTCATTATATAATGATAAAAGTGTCAATTCATCAAGAGCATATAACAATTATAAATATATATGCACCCAATACCAGAGCACCTAAATATATTAAGCAAATACTAACAGATCTGAAAGGAGAAGTAGACAATACATAATAGTAGGGAACTTCAAGAACCCCACTTTGAACAATGAATAGATCATCCAACAGAAAATCAAAAAGGAAACATTAGACCTGAACTATAGTTTAGACCACATGGAACTGAAAAAACCTACACAGAACATGTCATCCAACAGCAGCAGATTATACATTCTTCTCAAGGGCACACAGAACATTCTCCAGGGCAGATTATATGTTAGGTCACAAAAAACGAGTCAACAAATTTAAAAATATTGAAGTTATACCATGTGCCCTTCCTGACAACAATGGTACAAAACTAGAAATCAATAATAGGAAAACTGGAAAATTCACAAATATTTGGAAATTAAATAATACACTACTGAGAAATCAATGGGTCAAATGTTTTTCTTTTCTTTTTTTAAAAATTTTCTGTCTTCAGTAGTTCTCTCCAAAACTCATTTAACATGGCCTTCCATAAGTTCTTGATTTTTAAAATATTTTCATGTTTTATACTGAACTTCTGTTATATTATATGAGGATTTGGTTCATGTATACCTTTTCTTTATCTTCTACTCCTAAGTTCTGGTAAGTAAGTCTTCTGTTTACCAACCTTTCTTTCCCTTATATTTTCTAATTGAAACCATTTCGCCATATATTGCTGCTGCTACAGAAAAACAACATTTGCTTTATGTATATGAAAATAGCCACTTACATATCACTTTTCTGGCTATAAATATTTTTTCCCTTTTGGATATAAATGCAGTTTTCACCTTTGGTTCAATCTGCATCACTTCAATTAAAGGACAGAAAAATAAAATTCACATGGGAATCCTGTGTGTGTGAAATAGAAGCCTCATCAAATATTAACACACACACACACACACACACACACACACACACACACACCCAAAGTTAACACCTGATTCTTCCTTTCATCTGAGAAACAAGGATGAGAGACTCTTTGAAATCCTCCCTGGGATCCATGTAAATGACCAAAATAGTTAGGTAGCAAATGATCTTCAAAGTGGGCATCCTTCCAACAAATGTTTGCATTGATTTCATTACTTCTAAAGGCTGATTGATGCCAGAAAGAACAAAGAGATAAGGCAAGAACCATCTCTTTTATTGGCCCCCTCCCCATTCTGTATTTTAGAATGAGCATGTGATATTGGGCAAATACTCTGGTCATTTAAGGAATTTCAGATGTTCTCTACTGGGGGTTAAGATAGGCTGATAGATAGACAAGTTGAACCGCAGGTTCATGTGTCCAGAAGTTCTATTTTGCTCTGTAATTTATTTGTTGTTTTTTTAATGACATTTACAGATTAAACTGCTTAAGAAAGGGTTAAAGACAACTCACTAGTTGTTTTAACCTAATATCAAACAATTACAGTAAAACCTTGGATTGGGAGTAACTTGTTCTGTGAGTGTTCTGCAAGATGAGCAAGGATTTCTAATAAATTTTAACTCGATAAATGAATGATGTCTTGAAATATGAGTAGTACATGATGCCAAATGTCACATGATCACAACTGAGCCAATGGTTCTTGAAATTCCCTTTGATATATGAGTGGTTTGGATGATAAACATGTTTTTGGAATGAATTATGCTCACAAACCAAGGTTTTGCTGTATTTGTTTGAATTTTTAATTTCTAAATCTTTAATTTTTAATATGTAAAATCAGTGTGACTTTTCCATATTGCAGATGAAGAAATAAGAATGGGTTTTGAGTAAACCACACTGAGATACCACCTCACGCCAGTCAGAGTGGCTAAAATGAGCAAATCAGGGAATTCTAGATGCTGGCGAGGATGTGGAGAAACGGGCACCCTCCTACACTGTTGGTGGGAATGTAAACTGGTACAACCCCTCTGGAAAACAGTGTGGAGGTTCCTAAGGAAACTAACAATAGAACTCCCCTATGACCCAGCAATAGCACTGCTAGGAATTTACCCAAGGGATACAGAAATGCTGAGGCATAGGAGCACATGTACCCCAATGTTCATAGCAGCACTCTCCACAATAGCCAAAACATGGAAAGAGCCTAAGTGTCCATCAACGGACGAATGGATCAAGAAGATGTGGTTTATCTATACGATGGAATACTACATGGCAATGAGAAACAATGAAATCTGGCCATGTGTAGCTACATGGATGGACCTTGAGGGTGTTATGCTGAGCGAAATAAGTCAGGCAGAGAAGGACAAATATCACATGTTTGCACGTATAGGAGGATTAGGAGGAACTTGACGGAGAAACAAGGGGGAGAAGAAGGGGGGAAATGGTGGGGGAAAGGGAGAGAGACAAAGCATGAGAGACTCTTGAATGCTGACAAAAACTGAGGACTGATGGATGTGGGGGGGAGGGGGGGATGGGCATGGAGGAGGACACTTGTGGGGATGAGCACTGAGTGTTATGTGGAAACCAACTTGACAATAAACTATTTGTAAAAAAAAAAACAAACAAAAAACAGAATGGGTTTTGAGCCTGTGTTAAATAGATATAAGGAAAGGGTATATGATACCTTATCTGAGAATTTCTTAGCAACTGAAGCAGGAGGGCAGAAAACAAACATGAGGTCACAGGAGGACAAATGAAGCCTGGGTGCTGTGGAGAAAAAGCTGGAACAACCAGGGTAACTGGATTCATTTATAGGGAAGAATTTTTCATTATGAAGAAAATTATTCCTGATTTCTAAATATAGTGTTTGTTAACAAAGTTTTGGTGTTAAAAGTATTATTGAGAAAACGTACAAATATGGCAAGAAATGGGAGCTTTCATCATATATAGTTGACCCATGAACAACACAGGTTTTGAACTGCTAAGGTCTACTTATGCACGGATTTTTTTTCAATAAATACAGTACAGTTCAAGAATATATTTTCTCTTTATTATGATATTCTTAGCTTACTTTACTATAAGAATATGGTGTATGTGTGTATAATACATGGAACATACAAGATAAGTGTTGATTGCTTATGTTGTCAGTCAGGTTTCTAGTTGACAGGAGGCTATTAATAGTTCAGTTTTGGGTAGTCAAAATGATACAAGAATTTTCAACTGTATAGGGGTCTATGCCCCTTACCCCCACATTGTCAACTGTATTAGTATCCAAGGAGAAATGGCTGGTTTTAGTTATCCTAATCTTAGTACAAAAGACACAAAAGGACATGGAATTTTAATTATTTTGGCTAAAGGAATTTTTTCTTTAGTTTCCTTACTGACTCAACTTTGCTGAGTGGTGGGATGTTGGAGGACTAACACTCTTTTTTGTAAGTTTATTTTGGTATATTTATTATTATTTATTATTTTGAGAGAGAGAGAGAGAAAGCAGGGGGGGAGCAGAAAGAGGTGGAGAGAGGATCCTAAGCAGGCTCTGCACTGTCAGTGGAGAGCCTGACTTGGGGCTCAAACTCATGAACCATAAGATCATAACCTGAGCTGAAACCAAGAATCGGATGCTTAACCTACTGAGTCACCCAGGCACCCCATGGAGGACTAAAGTTATAACTTGATGCTGTTCAGTCGAGATGTTGTGCAAGCCAGACTTGTAACTTTGAACTTTCTTGTAGACACATTATAAAAAGTAAGAAAAAAAGAAATTAATTTTAATAATGTTTCATTTAATCAATATTAAAAATATTTTAATTTCAATACACAATCAATAAAAAATGATTAATGATATACTTTACATTTTTTATCCTAAGTTTCAGATTTCAGTGTTTATTTCACACTTAACAGTGCATCTCAATCAGGACACTAAACTTTTAATGGTTGAGGTGAAATGTATCCCTACTAGAACAATAAAATTGTGTTTCACAGAAACACATTTGATGCTTCTTTGGCTCTAAAACTTAAATTAATTACAGTGAAGTAAAATTAAAAATTCATTTCCTCAGCCACACTAGCCACATTTCAAGTATTCAATAGTCATGTGTGACTGTGGACTGCTATTTTGGACAGCAGAATTCTCACCAAACGATGCCTTTAGAACTCTCAAGTGGTCCAATTCTGCTGCCAGTCTTCCAGCCAGAACTCCTTGGGTTAGAATAGTCATAGTTTGTGTACATCCTGACTGCTATGGCTGAATTGTGTTCCCTCCCCCCATTCATATGTTGAAGCTCTAAACCTCAGTATCTCAGAATGTGACTGTCCTCAGAAATAGGGACTTTGAAGAGGGAATTAAGGTGAATGGAGGTCATATGGGTGGGCCCTAATCCAACATGACTGATGTCCTTATAAGAGCAGGAAATTTGGTGCTTGCTTCAGGAACACGTATACTAAAATTGAAATGATACAGAAAAGATTAGCATGGCCCCTGCACAAGGATGACACACAAATTTGTGAAGCGTTCTATATTTTTAACATGGATGGAACTTGAGGGTGTTATGCTGAGCGAAACAGGTCAGGCAGAAAAGGACAGATACCATATGTTTGCACATATAGGTGGATTAGGAGGAAGTTAATGGAGGACGAAGTGGGAGAAGAAGGGGAAAAATCGTTGGGAAGTGGGAGGGAGGCTAACCACAAGTGACTCTTGAATGCTGAGAACAAACTGAGGGCTCATGGGGGCAGGGGAGAAGGGAAGGGGGGTGATGGGCATGGAGGAGGGCACTTGTCGGGATGAGCACTGGGTGTTGTATGGAAACCAACTTGACAATAAACTATTAAAAAAAAGGGAGCAGGAAATTTGGAAACATGGAGGGACATGAGCCATGCATCTGCATAGAAGATGGACCTGTGAGGACACGCTAGGAAGGTGGCCATTTTCAAGGCAAGGAAAGAGGTCTCAGAAGAATTCAAAACTCCTGTCACATTGACCTTGGACTTTACTCCAGAGTGTAAGACAGTAAATATCTGCCATTGAAGTCCTCTCAGTCTGTGGTACTTTGTATGGCAAAGTACCACAGACTGGGCAGACTAATATACTGGCCCAGCATTTAGAGGGCTAAAAGAAATAGATAAGTCCTTCACTATTTCAGATGTTTTCCTCCTATTTTGTCCCCAGCTTCATATTTGAATATCCCACAAATCCTTAGATGTTGGCTCTCTGAAACCAGCTAAAGAAAATAAATGTCCATAGGGTGGATTTTTTTTTAACTGGCCTTGTGTGCAAGTTCTTTCATGGTTGATTGGACAGAATATTGTGTGTGTTTTCCTTTTGGAAGGTAGGGAGTGAATGAGTCACATCAACAAACCACAAACACATAGCTTTGAGGTTCAAAATGAAGTGTCTGTGCCCATCAAGCTGAGCCTCTTGCCTTTGTCCATCACAGACATGGAGCCTCTTCAGGATCGCCAAAGTTCGTTAATAGCGTTTGTGTCTATGCTAATACAATCAGAAAATTATGCAAACTGTCTATTTCTTTCCAGAGAGAACAGGGTGATCAGCCATTAGTGATTCACACTGATGAGCCTACACTAATTGCGCAGAATGTAATTAGTGATTATATAATATTTGAGCTCTTGCAACTGTCATTAATGTCCACGATTCACCAGAGATGGGCTCTACTGAATGGAGTATGATTGCCGCATGCTAAATGTAGTTAATACAAAGTATGTTAATCAGCACAGGATGCACTTTAGGCAGTGGTTAAAAGCTCTACTGACCTCACAAAAAAACCCTCACATCCACCAAAGTCTGAATTGCTTACAATAGGATCCTTTTTAAAAGAGAAATTTAATAATTAAATGGCCTGGAAAACTTGAGGACAGAGTTATTGGATGGTATTAACACATTTAGATTTTTGTGTAACAGATACGGTGACCAAAATGTTGTATTAGTGCTGGCGTTAATTTATGATACGTTTAACTGTTGACTCAGGGTGTATTGTACTCTAAAATTATCATGGTTGTCATATGGCTAAGGAAAACTAGATTAAGAAATAATTCTTTTTAAGAGGAAAGATGAGTATAATTGCCCAGAGCCTCTTAGAGCACAATTCTGGAGATTCATTTTATGGAACAAAGTTTTAGCAAGCAATAACATTATAGTGATATTTTGTTCCCTGGAATAAATAAAGGTTGGGTTCTAAAATGGATTCATAGGGGCGCCTGAGTGGCTTAGTCGGTTAAGCATCCGACTTTCGCTTAGGTCATGATCTTGCAATTCGTGGGTTTGAGCCCCGTGTCGAGCTCTGTGCTGACTGCCAGCTCAGAGCCTGGAGCCTGTTTCAGTCTGTGACTCCCTCTCTCTCTGACCCTCCCCTGCTCACGCTGTCTCTCTCTCTCTCTCCTAGAAATAAATAAAACATTTAAAAAATAAATAAATAAAATGGATTCATATTTCACTGTGTCTTGAGTCATGATAGATTTTCAAGACATTTATTTGTGGCAGATGCTGTGGATGTGGTTGCCCCAACCAGTATTCTCATGGTCAATGCATTCACCTGCAGCTGCAGTGGACAGTCCCTGAATATACTATAAACTTCCCACTCCAAGCATCTTTATCTTTCTGTTTTTCTTCCAAAAGGTTTTCTTCAGCACCCCATGAGCTTGGCCAACCCACCTGTAGGGCAACCTCTAAATGTCAAGGATTTGACAATTTGGGGTAAGTCTCAACCAAAGGGGACTGGTGGTTGGTGGATAAATTTCCCTGCTTACCCCTCCTTTGGTGGGACTGTTCTGAAGTTGTGTTCCACATGGTTTTTCTTAAAGTCTCTAGCACCTCAGAGCACCATTTGCCCATAGTGGTGACTCTATCGTGAATGCTGTCCTTCTTGGCTTTTCTCCCTTCTCCGTCTTACTTCCAGATTCCTCCACTTGTGTTTCTTGGTGTTATTTTCTGTAATGCTTAATTTTATGTATCAGTTTGGTCTTTGAATACTTGTATTAAACATCATTTTCTGGGTATGTCTATGAAGGTATTTCTGGATGAGATTAGCACTGGAATTGGTGGACTCAGCAAAGTAGATTGTCCTCACCAGTGTGGGTGGGCATCATACAATCCGCTGGGGGCCCCAATAGAACAAAAGGCAGATGAAGAAGGAATTTACCCCTTTTCTTCCTGCCTCACTGTTGAGCTGGGACATCTCATTTTATCATCTCCTGACTTTAGACTCAGATTGAATTACACCACCAGGCTTCCTGGTCTCCAGCTTGCAGACAGCATATCATGGGACTTTTCAGCCTCCATAATCATGTGAACTAATTCTGTATCTATCTATCTATCTATCTATCTATCTATCTATCTATCTATCCAACCCATTGGTTCTGTTTTTTTGAAGATACTTGACCAATACATCTCCGAAATAAATTATCTCTACCCAAGTCCTTGTCAAGGTTGGATTTTGGAGGAACCCAACTAAAAATTCCTTCCCTACTTTCCCTCCACTCAATCCTGCTACCCCATCACCCAAAGAGAATGTAACCCACTGCAAATGTAACCAGATGAAACCATCAGCCTCCTTATACGTGTGGCAAGCCTCGAGTAGTTCTGTCCTGGTATGTACTTTTTACTGTTGAATTGATGTGAATTAAAATCTTTTACACCAAACATAATTTGTGTTTTAAGTGACACTACATACGAATGATTATTTGCAGTGTGGAATTTGCACAGGCTTACAAGTTTCCAAGGCCTGAGTAATTTAATATGGTCCAGTTCTTCATGAAATAATATGGCTGTTGCAGACACCAAGAAAAATAACAACTTATGATTTATGTGATTTCCTCCCATTTATGCATTTTATGTAAATAATAAGTGCACTAGCATTTTTGCTTTGTAAGGTATTTTCTAGTGGTTGTTTAATCAGCTGAAAGTCCTTCAGGGATCATTTAAATAAAGTTCTGCTGAGTAATAATGACAGGAACTTGTATCAACTCTTACTCTGTGCCAGACACTCTGGTAAGCTTTCTGCTGTAAAAACTATAATCATCCCCAGTTGCAGGTATGGAAAATATGTCTTAAAAAGGTTAAGTGATGTCTTGGCTAAGGTCACAAGACCTACAAGTGGTGGAGACAAGAATCAGCCTAGACTCTCCTTGGCCCCTCATTTTCTTTAAGGCTAAAAATTTAAAATATTAGAAAACTTCCCTTGCATTTCCTACTGATCCTCTTTTTGGGCCTGCCCCCAGTCAGAGGCCAGGATGCGATAGCAGATGTCAGGTCTGCAGGCATTCTCCATACAGTAGCCTCCCAGAGCTACTGCCTGTGTTTCTTTGTCTACAGGTGGGCCTTAGGGCTCTTCCACCCTGATGGTTAATGCAGGTGCTAGTATTTGTCTTGTTACAGGTGCAGCCTATAACAATGTAAGAGAGAAACAGTGTGCTTGCTCAGGAAGGACCTGTACTGTCTCCAGAGCTTTCCTGTTGGACTGAACTAATGTCACCCTCCTAAGTGATTTGCTTGATACTACATTTGGTGTGGCTTCCTTCCCTGTCTTCCTTTCCCCTCTCCCACCAGTTTTCCCTGGAGTCTGCTCCTAGTAAACCATGTTCACAGGAACTCTCATCTCAGGGACTGCTTCTGGAGACCCCTGCTTAAGACAGAACCTACAAAAATGGCTATCAATTCTTAGAGCCAAATATACTCAAAAGGTAAATATGCAAGACAAACTTGAGTTGGGAAGTATGAACAGAGTTTTTCATTATTTGAGATAGAACATGATTATAATACAGTTGAAAACATTTTGAATATCTATCAATAATGGATAATATAGGGGGCATCTGGGTGGCTTAGTTGGTTAAGTGTCAGACTTTGGCCCAAATCATGATTTCATGGTTCATGAATTTAAGCCCCATGTCAGGCTCTTGTGCTGACAACTCAGAACCTGGAGCCTTTGGATTCTTGGTCTCCCTCTCTTTCTGCCCCTCTCCCCACTCATACTCTGTCTCTCTCTCTCTCAAAAATAAATAAAACATTAAAAAAATATAAAAAATAATGGATGATATAGGTAAATCACAGCACATTCATTCAAGGGAATACCATAGAGCTGTAAAAAAGAATGAAGAGATTTTATTTTATTACTTTTTTTCTTCCAAGATTTTATTTAAATTCAAGTTAGTTAATATATAGTCTAGTTTTGGTTTCAGGAATAGAATTTAGTAATTCATTACTTACATATAATACCCAGTGCTCTTCACAACAAATGCCTTCCTTAATGCCCATCCCCCATATAAACCATCCCCCCCTAAATCCCCTCCAGCAACCCTCAGTTTGTTCTCTGTCGTTAAGAGTCTTCTATGGTTTGCCCCTCTGTTTTTATTTTATTTTATTTTTCTTCCCTTCCCCTATGTTCATCTGTTTTGTTTTTTAAATTCCACATAAGAATGAAACCATATGGTATTTGTCTTTCTTTGACTTATTTTGCTTAACATGATACACTATTATTTCCAGTCATGTCTTTGCAAATGGCAAGATTTCAT